TTTATACCTAATTTGCAGATTGAGAACATTTGGTCCCAGGTAACTAATTACCACCCATCTGCCATGAACAGACCATATCTTTTTAAGCTTTTTATTAAAGTATACAAAAAGAAAAGTGTACATATCATCAGTGTGCAACATGGTGAATTATTACAAACTGGACAAACCATGTGAGCAGCACTGGATCAAGTGATGACAGTATCAGTGCCCTAAAGCCTCTCATGTGTGTGCTTCGTGTCACTGCCTCCCCCTCACTTGAATGTGATCTTAGATTCATGGGGTGAATTGATGCCAAAGCCCTCGATATTATCTGAATTGCATTTAATTTTTCACTGAATTCTGATTAAGATGAATCATGGGAATCTATTTTAAGGTCTGGGAGGTAAATGAAAAGAATCAAAAAAAGTAGACACACTTTTTAAAAATGACTTAGTAAATAACCTTTGCACAAAAATCTAATTATACCAGAGTTAAATTCTCCTTTTTTTTTTTAACGTTTATTTATTTTTGAGAGAGAGAGAGGCAGAGCACAAGTGGGGAAGGAGCAGAGAGAGGGAGACACAGAATCGGAAGCAGGCTCCAGGCTCTGAGCTGTCAGCACAGAGCCTGACGCAGGGCTCGAATTCACAGACTGAGATCATGACCTGAGCTGAAGTCGGACACTCAACCAACTGAGCCACCCAGGCGCCCCAAATTATACTAGAATTTGAATAAAACATTTAGTTTACTGATGACATGGTTTCCAATTTCCATCTTTAATAAAGTTAGTAAAACCCAGTTTTAAATGTTAATGAGAAGATTCGTTAAGCAAAAGTTCCATAAACAGAAGATTAAAATCTACTTAAGTCCTCAAGTACTTCATGTCCAGTTGGTCTGGTCTACTTGCCAATTTGGGGGGAGAAATACAATAGAGATAGAGACAAGACCCACCAAGAACCCTTTAGTGAAAAAGAAGAAAGCAGGTGTTTCAGTAGGATTTGATTCTGAATATAACCTTCAAGAATTTTCTAGTGACCTAAATTCAATTTCTCAAAGACAAGTCAGTCTGACAGCTTTTGTTACCTGTTCTAAATCTTTTAAGAGAGCCGTCCTTATAAAGTCTGCTGTATCACACAAGTGGCAGAACTAGATAAATGTGGCACCTGATGAATGGGAAGGCCACAGCTGCAGTCCCTCTGATCTGTGGCAAAGCACCTCTGATGTCATCTCCTTTCCTCCCCCTGCCTATGTGAAGTGAATTTTAATACCGTTTTTATGCAGATGAAAGCATTTGCTGCCCAGGTGACTGGAGAACTGGAATTTCTGATCCCCTCATTTAAGAAATCTTATTGCCTTGCTTATCAAAGAAAACCATTACTGAGTTCAGGAGTAGGGAATGGGAGGGAAAAAGAAAGGACACATTGCAAGCACAGTGACAGATAAGACAGTCCGCAGACTCTGAAAAAGAGTGCTTCTCCTGATCAATTTTTGTAGATTAAAAAAAAAAAAAAAGATTGGGGTTCTGTTTATAAATGCATTGGATGTGTGATTGTTCATAAGATTGTCCATAAGATATCAAACAACCCACACATGTTTATAGCTGTGAAAATACGCCTCCCGGAATTATTTTCATGTAACATTGAACCAGACAAAAGAGATGTCTCTGTATCACTTTTTACTTTCCCTGCCCCAGACCTGGAGCCAGCCATGTCTTCAAGAACCCTGACTTCATTAAGTGGGAAATGGTATTTAGAAACAAAGAACTAAGTGTGAGGTGTGCTCATTACTACCGGAGTATCATTACTTCTGGGCCTTTCATGGAGCTAGAAAAAAAAAAAAATGAATTCATAATGATTCCTCAGTTCAGATGAGAAACAACCCAAAACCTTAATTCCCTCATTCATATATATTTCTTCCTTATCCCACAGTAAAAACCTTGCTTCTCAACATCAATTTACTTACTCGTTTATACTATGATACAATAAACACAAAATAATCTCAGAAACACGGTAACCTTCACACTGCCAAAAATAAACCTATTAAGCCAAGTTCAAAATCCTTCCAGTTCTTTTAACCTTGGGATATATTCTATTAAGGATGTATAATCTTAGTACTTAAAAGTTACTGGAGTTAACATTGGTATGGCTGTTATCTATCTGGTGCATAGTAAGATTGGCTTCTTTCTGTATTCAATGTTAACGTTTTCTTTCACCTTTTATTTAGTTTCATGTTTAGAATATATTAGCTTAAAAGTTAAAACCAATAAAAAGTTACTATCAGAGACTTCTTGCTTGTATCTTTGTTCCCTACATCCTACCTGCCTACCCCTATAGGCAACTACATTCATTCATTTTTTTATTTATCCTTCTTTTCTTTTTACAAAAATAAGGAAATAGATACATTTTCATTTCCCTAACTTTCTATACAAAAGAGCAATTATCAACACTCTTGCACACTTTGTTTTTAAGAGAAAAGCATCTGTTAGCCTTTAATGAACCTCCCTCCACATGGCTTCAAGCTACCAGGACACAGCCCCCCCCACCCCCCACCACACACACACACACACACACACACACACACACACCCTTAATCTTCTGCTCAGCTCTCCCACTGTCACTGTGTCTTCAAGGTGACAGGCTGTCTGGGGAATTTTCCCTTCCCGAAAACTTTGTAGTACCCCGATCACACCACGCCAGTGATAGGAGCAGCTCCAGTCTTATTCTTGGCAGCATGTACCCGTGTCTGCCCACTGGCTACAGTCCACAGTTTATCAAGGTTTACAGTTGGGCAGAAGCCCCGGTTCCTCTGTCGTGATGCCTCATATCAACTTTCCCAAAGCAAGCTGGATGATACTTGTCAAAGTCGGTCCCGTGGTGACGCATGCCACCAGCATTATCCCAGCCTTCTGGGCGCTTCCGTGCTTACTGATGGGTCTGTGGCTGTGGCTCCCGTGGCCCTGAAATTTCCAGGTCTTCCTCAGTCTGGATGGCTGTGTGGAAAAGTTGCTTGGTGATAAGGCCAAATGGAGACAGGGCAGGGGGAGAGCTTACCCAACTGTGAGGGGTCCGTAGGCCGAGGGAGGTCAAGGATCTGCTTCGTGGCACATTCAGCAAAGTTGATGTTAGGGGCTGGCCCAGGGCCACGCGCTCTCATCAGGGCAGTGCGGGGTGCCGGAGTACAGCTGCCTGTGTGTCTCTGGGGTCCAAACGCCAGGCCAGACACGCACCCGCAGGCTCCCAGAACCAGACCAGCCACCTCGTCCTGAGGCCCACCGAGCATGGCCTGAAAGACTGGGGTGCGACGCCAAGTAGACTTGGCAGCCTGCACCAGCAACAAAGCAAAGCATGAAAAGAACCACACTTTGCTCTCTTCTTTTTTTTTTTTTTTTTATCACTTGACCGTATGTCCTGCGGATTACTCAATATCAGTTCATAGAGAGTTTCATCATTTTTTTTTGATGGCTGCTGCATATATTCCATTGTGAGGATGTACCACAATGTGACCACAGTGTCCTATGGATAGGTATGGGGTTGTTCCTAATACTTTGTTTTTATAAATAGCGTGATGAATAACTTGTATCTATTTTTTGTTTTTGTGAAGGTATATCTTCAGGGTAAACTTCTAGCAGTGGGAGCGATGGGTCAAAGGGTTATGTAATTTTGCTAGAAAATGCCAAATTCCCTTCATTGTGGGCTTTACCGTTTTGCTCTCCCACCAGCAACTCACGAAAGTGCTTTTTTCTCATAGTCTTGCCATAAAGTATATTGTAAAATAAACATATGCAAAGGAAATTGAAAAAAAATTGTTTTTAAATAATAAAAGCACTGTCTTTGAGTAGTGCAATGATTGTGAATTGTTGTCTCCTTTAAGTATTTTCCTTTCTCTTTTCAAAATTTGTTGTAATCAGTGCATGCTTATTATTGAGAAAAAGGTGGGAAAGTATTGAGTTTGCACTTCAGAATGAGAAATCTGATTTAAAGGAGAGAATTTTCTGGTGATAATTTTCAATGCGCCACAAGAAAAAAAGGACTTTTTGTTTGTTTTTTGGTTTTTTTCCCAAGGCGCCTGGGTGGCTCAGCTGGTTAAGCCTCCAACTTCGGCTCAGCTCATGATCTCGTGGTTCATGAGTTCGAGCCCCACATTGGACTCTGTGCAGACAGCTCAGAGCCTGGAGCTGCTTCAGATTCTGTATCTCCCTCTCTCTCTGCCCCTTCCCCACTCGTGCTCGCTCGTGCACTCTCTCGCGCGCGTGCTCTCTCTCTCTCGCTCCCTCTCAAAAATAAAAACAGTTTTAAAAAATTTTTAAAGGAGCTTTCTAACAGGTTAACATCATTTATTTGTGTCTTACTGAGATGAGGACAGAGAATAATTTCCTTCTCAAAATTTCTTCTAAGCCTAAGAGTCTATAATTGTTACTATTTCTTCTTTGTCTTTTAACTAGAGTTATACACACACCTGGCCACACTGATGATCATATGGCTCTACTTTTAGAAGAGGAAAATGCTCTCTTTTCTGGAGATTGCATCCTAGGAGAAGGGACAACTATATTTGAGGACCTTTATGATTATATGAACTCCCTAAAAGAACTGTTGAAAGTCAAAGCTGATATTATATATCCAGGTAGGTAGTTTCTTACATGTAGCGATCCACATGTGTGACATGATGGAGAAGGTTCATTTTGGTTTGTCTGTATGTGTATTTATGTTTTCAGGGCTTGAAGAGATAGACAGTGCTTCTTTAAATCACCCCCCCCCAGGTCTTATCAAGCCATGCAATTAAAAAGGCTGAGAGTAATATTAATAACTTTATATAAAGATATAAGGGTTATTTTTTAATATCTACACAGCTATTAATAGAACTGTTAAACAAAGGAAATAAGTTTACATTTTCATTCCACAAACTGTCTTCACTTCTGTCAATTTGATTTCTGTTGTAGACTGCATTTTAGCAGTAAACTCTGAGCTCTAGTTTCTTTAACTCACGCTATTGAAATATCAGTAGCTTCCATGTCAACTGTAAAATTGTGTATTCATTTCACTTCTCCAGAAAAAGAAGCCTGTTTTAGTATCTCAGCTGTCACGGCATTGCTCTTCAATATGAACCTCCCTTTTATCCTAAAAGTGAAGAAAGACATAGGACTGGACAAGAGGGCCCAGAAGGAAAAAGAAACAAGGTTACCTAATTGTTTAAGTCCTTCCAACTTGTTCCTAACCAGAGAGCCATGGAGAGACTTGTAATTACAGTGTCTTCAATCCCCTTATATTCTTTCATGAGTTTCTACTGCTGAGGGGATAGGAAACATAGTGGAGCTGGGCATTTGGATTTATTATGACCTAAGAGGAATGGAAGCTGACAGCTGTTTTTAAAGAGAAGAGAGCACATGTTTGATGTACTCACATTGGAGTAAAACTAATGAGAGGCTGCCTTGGTAAAGGTTCTTAGAGTGTTTGCTTTAGTGACTCCAGTGAACTGGCCTACTGGCATAGCAGGAACTTAAAATACGTTCTGTAACCATAGCTACTATATATTAAGGCCTGCTACCTCTCAGGTACTGTGCAGGGACCTTTACAGTGTTGTCCTCACAAAAACCCAGTGAAGCAGGTCGTGGGATCTTCATTGCACGGCAGAAGAAACAAGCTCAGGGATTCAGACTTCTGATGGCCACGCAACTAGTAAGTGATAGTCAATATTCCAACCAAAGCCCATGCTCTGTATATGGTAACAGGTTAGTCTGCTGAATTTGTTCTCAAGTATTTTAAACATCCCTCTTGCAGACTTGGGTCATACATAATTTGCACTATCTAAAAGAGCAACTAAATTTCAATATGACTTAGGGGCACCTGGGTGGCTCATTCAGGTAAGCATCTGGCTCTTGGTTTCATCTCAGTTCGAGCCCCACGTCAAGCTCTGTGCCAATAGCATGGAGCCAGCTTGGATTCTCTGCCCTCCCCCCACTCGTGCTCTCTCTTTCTCAAAATAAATAAATGTAAAAAAAATTTTTTTTTAACTTAAAAAAAAACTTTTACTAGAACTTAATCGGGGTTGTCAGCATTTCTGAATGACTAGACTATACATAAGATGCTTAAAGTTTTACTGTGGTTCTTGTGAATTTTTAATAGATCTTGGTCACTTACATGAAGCTACTTTTTACATTCCTCCTTTCAATCTTTTATAAGTGTGGCATGGTGGGTAAGAGCACAGAGTAATTAAAAGCTCACAAGTCAGAACCCCAGCACCGTCCCCTCCTCACTGTTGAACTGTGGGCAAATTATTTACCCTCCTTACACTCCCACTTCTGTTATAAAGAAGGTATGATAAGAGTGCCTACCTCATCGGACTCTTATAACAATAATATATAGAGGGTGGGTGATGGGCATTGAGGAGGGCACCTTTTGGGATGAGCACTGGGTGTTGTATGGAAACCAATTTGACAATAAATTTCATATTTAAAAAAAACAATAATATATATTATGCATTTAGAGCAGTGCCTGGCAGATAATGAGCACACTATAAATAGTACCTATCCTTACTCCTGTGCTTACTGTTTTTGTTGTTAATTTTTTTTTTTTAAGTATATAGTAACATTTCATGCAGATTTTATCTGATATAATACTCTGGTTTTGGCCAGAGTTTGTATGTAATTTTTAAATTTTGTATGTAATTTTTAAAATTTGTATGTAATTTTTAAATCTCTTACACCTGTATCATTTTCCACAAATTCATATTTAGAACACTTAGTATGCTTTTTCAGTACATCATGTGCATTATTTTTAAACAGACTGAATTAATTTCAGTTGTACTTAGTGTTTTTTATCTGTTTGAAATAAATGTTATAATTCTAATTCAGGACACGGCCCAGTAATCCATAATGCCAAAGATAAAATTCTGGAATACATTTCTCACAGAAATATGCGAGAACAGCAAATTCTTGCATTACTTCATGATAATTTTGAAAAATCATTTACAACAATGGAGCTGGTAAAAAACATTTACAAGGTAATTTTCATTTATCTTATTTGTACATAGCAACAGTTTTATTAGAATACTCTACACAGGGGTACCTGGGTGGCTCAGTCGGTTAAAGCATCAGACTCTTGATTTCAGCTCAGGTCATGATCTCACAGTTTGTGAGTTCAAGCTCCGCATCAGGCTCTGAGCTGACAGAGCAGAGCCTGCCTGGGATTCTCTGTCTCTCTCTCCCTCTGCCCCTCCCTGCTCTCACTTTCTCTCTCTCAAAAATAAATAAATACATGAAAAAAAAAAGAAGAAGAATCTATGTAATAGAACACATATGGTAGACTTATCACATCCCAGAACAGAATAAGTCTGTTAATTTTATAAGTAGTGCGCTTGTATAAATTTGAGATCAACAATCTCAACTTTCTAGAACACAGAAGTTAAACAAAAATGGACACGGGAAACCAAACAAACCATTCTGAACTATCATTAAACCGTATGTACTTCATTCTGTAGGAGAGACCATTACCAACAGCCTATAGCGATTTATGTATTATTGTATCCCTCTTGATTGTTGGTGTCCTAGTCTGTAGCAAGTGAGAAGGGTTATCTGCTAGAGACATACTGGGATAGCAGGGAGAAGTAGCAATGCCTAACAAGGAAGAAGAAGGAGAAAGTACATGTAACAGAACATGAGTAAATAACTTAGTATATAGAGAAAAGAAACCCTCGCGTCAGTGGCCTCTGAGCATATCACATATAACTACTACCACAACCTGTATAGCCATAAGATACATGGGAGTATAAAGATGAGCTTGAAAAGTACCTGGGCCCAGTTATAATTAGTAAAGAACTGTAACGTTCCATAGGCCTAAGTTATCAAGACAATCACATCATACTCAGTGTGCTTTGTTTTAAAAAGGAGGGATGAGTGGTTAAAATGGCTAAAGATAAAAAGTGCCACTGGCAAAGCGGTAATATAAAGTTTCTTTCTCTGAGAGAGGGGGAGAGAATGCTTATGCATGAGTAAGGGAGGGGTAGAGGGAGAGCCAGACAGAGAATCCTAAGCAGGCTCCACATGTGGAACCCAACTCAGGGCTCAATCCCACGGCCATGACATCATGATCTGAACCGAAATCAAGAGTCGGATGCTTAACTGCCTGAGCCACCCAGGAGCCCCTGGTAACATAAATATTTAAATTCTGTGAAAGAGTTCATTTCCTCATAATACTAGAGTATAGCCACTCTAGACTATACATTGGTACACTGGGGTTTTCTCTCCTAACTTAAGTATAGACAGCAGAACTCATAACCCTCCCAGATGAGTCACATTAAGCAGTTTCCCATACCCTAAAAAATGCTGGTTCTGCATTCAGAGGTATGTTCAGAGGTATACTCACTGTATATATGTGTCAAGTACCTGTTGCATACAGAATAGTACTAGGTATTACACAGAGATGTATTCAGTCAACATTTACTAGATTCCTGTGCCACACAATGGACGAGATACAGAGTTACACAGATGATTAGAGATCCCTGCCCTCAAAGGACTCATAGTTTAGTGAAGACAGACACGTTCAACAGATAGTTGTAATACTAACTCGCATTTTTTGAACACATTATTATGTGCTAGATGCTGTACTCCTTGTTTCACACTTACAAATGTAATTTGAGGCCCTTAATTCATATACCTCGAATTCTCAATACATGAAGATACTATTATTCCAATTTAATAGACTTAAAAAACAAAAAACTGGGGCGCCTGAGCAGCTCAGTCAGTTAAGCATCTTAGGCTCAGTTAAGCAACTCAGTCAGTTAAGCAACTTAGGCTCAGGTCATGATTTCATGGTTCGTGGGTTCAAGCCCCGTGTCGGGCTCTGTGCTGACAGCTTGCTCAGAGCCTGGAACCTGCTTCAGATTCTGTGTCTTCTTCCCTCTGTGCCCCTCCCCCACCACACTCTGTCTCTCTCTGTCTCTCAAAAATAAATGTTAAAAAAAAATTTTTTTTTAAACTGACTCAGAAAGTTTGAGTTAAGTAACTTCCAAAGGTACACCACTAGCAGATGTCACATACTCAAAAGTGAGATGTCAGATACTACTCATATCTTGCTTTTTCTATCACACCAGGCTTCCTCCAAGACCTCTTTATAGTATATCAGAGCATTAAAGAAAGAATAAATTATATCTGATGGAAGATGCAGGGTATTAAGGCTTGCCTGGAAAAGCTTTAAAATTTTAATCATTTAATTGAGTCTTAAAGAGTAAGCATTTCCCAAGCCAGAGTATAGGAGAAAAGAAGCCATTCTAGACAGAAGGAAAAACATGCCCTGGGAGTAATAAACCAGCATTGTGTACATTTGAAAACCCACAAAGAAACTGCATATGACTGGAGCACACAATGCATATGGGGATGGGCAGGAAAGGAATCCCAGGGAATGAGGCAGAAAGGCAAGCATGATCAGATCATGGAAGCTTTCACCACCATGCTAAAAAGTTGGGCTTTAGCCAATAAACCTGGGCATAGCCACTCAAGGATCTTGGGAGAGGAGTCACATAATCAGATCTTGAAGATCACAATGCTGGGGGCGCCTGGGTGGATCAGTTGATTGGGCATCCAACCTCCACTCAGGTCATGATCTTGCAGTTTGTGGGTTCGAGCCCTGCATTGGGCTCTGTGCTGACAGCTCAGAGCCTGGAGCCTGCTTAGGATTCTTTGTCTCCCTCTCTCTCTCTGCCCCTCCCCTGCTCGCGCGCTCTCTCTCTCTCTCTCTCTCTCTCTCTCTTTCTGAAAAATAAACATTTAAAAAAATTAGAAGATCACAATGGCAGATATGGTAAATGGAGCTTAAGGGAGAGTTGGGGGTTAGAAGTTTATATTTGGAAACATTAATATCTGATACTGCTGTGCCAAGTTGGTTGTGTAAGAAGTGAGTCAACAATACAACTCATTGTTGCATGAATGCTTAGGGGTGCCTGGGTGACTCAGTCAGTTGAGCATCTGACTTCAGCTCAGGTCATGATCTTGCAGTTCATGAGTCCATGCAGAGCTCACTTTGGATCCTCTGTACCCCTCTTTCATTGCCCCTCCCCCCAAAAAAACTTAAATAAACTTTTTTTTTTTTTTTAATGAGTGTTTTAAGAGAAGTCTAAGGAAATT